GGTCCATGCCAGAGAAAACCTATAGTGGTCGACTCCCAATTCTCTGAGAATAGCGACATCTTCCTTGTATTTATGGTACGAGTCGCAAGCAACTGTGGCATCTGATCCATCAATGACTATAGAGGGTTGTTTGTTGAATGTTTTATCACATGTACTTTCGGTTTTTCCATCTAAGTTCCATGCTCCTGAAAGAGATCGGTTTTTGACAGAAGTGACACGTTCTTTTTTTATCGATCAAAGTCACAAATGTTATAATATACGCTGTCTGTTAAAAAAAAATAAGGCGAATTTTCATTTTTCTCGATTTTTTTTATTTTGTCACCTTCAAAGTAGACCCACCTAGATATAATATACTTCTGCCAGCGTTTTTTCCAGTCTAAGAAGCAGTTCGAATATGTAGTGTATGGTATTAAAAAAACTTTATTGTAACAAATTGAAGAATTAACTGTCTTAAATAAATTTATTTCTAACAATATTTCACTATCACAAACTAATTTATATCCAACTAACGCTTAATTTATCTCCACTATTTGAATTCCTTGTTTAACCGCTCGATTCTCTTTCTAAACTCAACTGCTGTCTGGACGAGAAGCCGGCCTTTTATATCGGTAAAGATCCATTGTAGAATTCTGTAGTCTGTTTTAGCAGCGGTTACTGTTAGCACGGTTACTGTCAAATACAGCAAGGACTACAGTTCGAACATTTACAATAAAGTCATGTATTTATTACTTTCCCATTTTTAAATTATTCTTCAGAAAAAATATAAAATAATAAATGAATTTCTACTTTTATTAAATATGAATAAAATTTATTTTCTAAGAGGACATCTTTCAAATTCTGTCCGTTAGACCCCAAGTATCATACCTTTTCGGAATCAGTTATCTAAAACTGACCAAATACAGGGTGTTGCATTTAAAAAATTACCGATGACGTCATCACATTAATATGAATCACCCTGTGTAATGAAATTTCATTGTAAAATGTAGAATATTAAAAATAAAAATCGACGTGTTTCAAGTTTTTGTAAAACGACCTTTGGTTTTGGAAATATTGAATTCATTCCATACTTTGCGGACACACTGTATATTATAATATACATGATCAAAATATTCCCACTAACCTTCGATTTGAAAGGCAGATGTGGATGCTCCGAATAGAAAGTTCTTAGGAAACTTTTTGTTGTTCAATTTTGCATCGTCAGCTGAACTGTAATCGGGAGAAAGACCATTAAATTACTGTACAAAATTTCAAAAACCCTTTTGTAGTCTACTTCAGGTTATTTCTGAACTCACCCAATAGACAGCAACGTTGCACAAAATATAAACCTATAGAAACGAAGCATTATTGTTGAAAAAACTCGGATCAATGTGATCTAAAGTATCAAATCCTACTACTTATATGTATCTCGAGTGATTGAAAGTTTTAAATAATTACACCTGACAAGATGATTGATATTTGAATTTTATGAAGGTGATTATTGGAAAATTCCGTTTGGGTATGTTAGTTGAATTAGAGAAGAGTTGAATCTATAGTATAAAAAAGTTAGTTTTCAAATAGTTTGACTCATTCGAAATATTGTTTAATATTTTCATGTCTTATAAACTGATAGTGATGTAAAACTACCTCAAATTATGATGAATAGAAAATTAAAACTAACTAATACACTTTATGTATGATTTTCACTATAAAGGGTTTTACAAAAACCGCGACACGTGTTTTGCTAAACAATAGCTTTCTCGAGCGCTCGAAAAGCCATAGCCACCCTTTTATTCTTCACTCGTCCTGCTTTCATCCGTTCCACAGCCATGGCAGAACCAGTGCTGCCACAACGTCAATTCAAAAAGTACCGAAATTCACAAGAAAATAGTACCCAAAATGTACTGCGCAAGACTAGGCATGGCACATGCGCATAAGTCATTTCAGACCAAATGCCAGTAATGCCAAACGTGTAATAATGTTATCCATTTAAATTCGGAAAATATATGGAGTAAAAAATTTGCTGGAAACTAAGAAATGATCAAGTATTGGCCAGTTCCATTCAATGAACAGAAAATTAGTTGACAAAATAATTGACAAAATAACGAAGTTATTTATTAATGATATAAAGACATCCTATACATTTTAGGCGAGATTAATATTCAACTGATGGTCCTTCGAGCCGGATATAAAGAAATTCTAGACAAGATTATCAATAAACAAATGGTCCTTCGTTACTAACTCTGCCAAATTTGGCAGTGTTACCCCCATACCCAAAAGCGGCAATAAGAACGATGTAAGAAACTACAGATCCATAACAGTCTTACCAGCTTTGTCGAAGATATTTGAACGGGTAATATATAATCAAGTATACAATCACGTGGATTCAGTGATCATCGACCAACAGCATGGCTTTATTCGTAATAAATCTACCATTACCGCAGTAACTTTGTTACGGATGGAATTAAAAATGTCTATCAAATAGACGTTACATACACTGACTTGGCCAAGGCATTCGACAGAGTTAACCACGAAGTTTTGATCCTGCAATCAAAAGCATTCGGTCTCACAAACAACACACTTGATTTTTTTCAGTGCTATCTATCCAACAGAATACAGTTCAACAACTTATCTTCGTTCGAATTCACCGCTACTTCGGGAGTTCCGCAGGGCTCGATTTTGGGACCTCACCTCTTCGTGTTATTTGTTATATGCCGATGATCTCAACCTTTTTAGAAGAATCGAAAGCGAAAAAGAATCTGATATGCTTCAAGATGATCTCAATAATCTATCTACTTACTTTTCAGTATCTGACCTATCTCTCAACGAAGCTAAATGCAAAATAATGAGTTTCACACGAAAGAAGTCACCCACTATCAAGAACTATTTCATTAATCATACCAATTTACAGAGAATAAATGAGATGAAAGATCTCGGGATCATTTTTACTGGTATGTTCAGTTTCTCTCGGCACATTGAATACTTATTATATGAATGTTATAGGAAAATGAGCTTTGTCTTAAGATCTAGTCGTGAATTCAATCACGATACTTGTTTGTTACTCTTAAACACCATTGTTGGTTCTGAGCTGGAATATGGTTGTGGAACGGTGAACGGTGAATTGGATATATTCAATATTACAGAGGGACAACACCTTCAAATGCTCAAATGTGTCTGAATTTTTCTTACGATATCATTTATTGATTTATATTGTTATATTTTATATCGATTTCAACTGTATCAATGGTACTCAATGAATATTATATGTAAGGAACTCAAAAAGTAGCTTCTCAAGTTAAGTCTTGTCCGGTGATATTGAAGTCTCTTAGTTCCTCAACTGAAACAGGTAAAATTAGACTGTTGAAGACGGATACGAGCGAAACTTTTGATCTGATCTAATACCTTCGAATTCTCGAAGTTTCAATTGTAGCAGAAGTCGGAATATGTCAAAAACAAAGAACAGTGAATCAAGACGTCAGCAAGTGGAACTTCAATTTGCCCTTGAAAAGTAGAAGTTGGAACAAGAGCTGCTTCAGAAAAAACAAGAGATGCTTGACGTTGAGTTAGAAAGCAGAAAGAATGCGTTGAATACATTAGCATGGTTAGAAGTTTCGAGTATGGTAAGATAGCTGAGAAGATAGCTGAATCTCCAGAGATTTGGTATCTTCCACATTTTGGTATTATTAACCCAAATAAAGCGAATAAATTCAGAATTGTGTTTCTGGTTTCTTCATAATCAACTGGCATCAGCTTAAATGATTGCTTGATGACAGGAATCTCTTCACAAAACTGAAATAAGTAAAAAGGTGGAAATTATATCAGCAGAAAAGTGTTTTAACCTTTAGGCGATCGCGCGCGGACTGTCACTCCGCAAGTTTAACATTTTTGCGATAGTTTTTTGATAAGCATGTTGGCGGCGCTGCAAGTAACAGTAGTCTCTGTAATGTAGTGTTCTACATACTCCATGGTTGTTGGTGTCCTGTGTCTGTAACTCTGTTGGGTTATGTTCCAAGCTTCGATAGAGGTCAAGAAGGTGAGGTCGATGTGATATATTGAGAAGCAAATAAAATAAACCCAAATAAAGGATCTCAGAGTTTCATTTGCATGCATGATACGACAGTCTCCTGGAATATCTTGATAATGATCAGTATAGAGTCACAGGTCAGTGGTTGCATTTGTTCCAGTGTTGTGTCCGTTGCGGAGTGAAACTCCGCGCGCGACCTTTCTTGTACCTATTCTTATTTCAAGTTGCGGAGTGAAAATCCGCGCGCGACCTTTCTTGTACCTATTTTTACTTGAAGTGAGATTTCAGTAATTGCTGTCATCAAAGGTAAGTCTATAATATTTGATTTCTGAAATGTGTTCAATTCATCCAAAAATTTTAGATGTGCTCCTGGGAACAAGAACAAAGGCATTTGGAAAAACTCATGTCAGAGTGTTTGATGGATAATGATACGCCTGATGCTGATTTTGAAGATGACGTTTCAGACGAGGATAATGTCGAAACACAAGAGGATATTCTTGAGACACAAAATATCGATAGTGACACAGAACAAGAAATTTCAGACCTAGAAGATTAAAATGATGAAACTCCAATTCGGGGACCAACATCCACAGGAAAAGACAATACAACCATTTGGTCTAAATTTCCAATACCCAGACATGGACGAACTAGGAGACAGAACCTGATAAAACATCTTCCTGGTGTGAATTTTGAATATAATTGTGGAGTACACAAATCAACACATACAAGAAAAACGTGTTCATTATCAAGGAAAAAGAGATGCTAAAGATACCGATTTATTGGAAACCAAGGCGTTCCTCGGTCTTGTATATTTATGCGAGTTCTAAAGTCTAGTCGCCTGAATCTTGAGGAATTGTGGGATAAAAATGGTACAGGAGTAGAGCTATTTCGACTTACGATGTCTAAACAAAGATTTTGTTTCCTCTTGCAACATATAAGGTTTGATGATTCAACTACACGTGACGCACGAAAGAAATACGACAAGCTTGCTCCCATTCGAGAAATATTTGATAACTTCGTCAATAATTGTTAAACTGCTTACTCTCCGTTTGAATACGTAACCATTGACGAAAAACTCGAGGCATTTCGCGGGCGGTGTAGTTTCCGTCAATATATACCCAGCAAACCTGCTAGATATGGCATAAAAATGTTAGCGTTAGCCGATTCAAAAACATTTTATACGACCAATTTGGAAGTGTATGTTGGCCGGCAACCTGAGGGACCTTTTGCAGTGAGTAATTCGCCGAAAGATGTTGTTCAAAGACTTTGTGAACCAATAAGAGGAACAGGCAGAAATGTTACAGTTGACAATTGGTTTACCAGTGAGGCGCTTCTTGAAAATTTGCAGAAAAATTTCAACTTAACTCTTCTGGGTACCATAAGAAAAAACAATATTTGTCGTAATTGTTCTGATCTTGGAAATGAGAGTGAATGAAAATATGTTTTCTATACTATCCCAAGATCCTGAGTTTCATTTTGTTTATTACTAGTATTATTCTTATTTTTTAATAGAAATACATTATGAATTCAAGTTCGTTTGCTGTTCAGTGTTGTTTTTTATTGCAAAAATGAATTAATTACACCAAATTCTTATAGCGGATGGACAGTCCGCTCGCGACCTTTCTTGTCTGAAAACTAGATGCTACCGCCGAAAGGTTAACGAGGTTGATGAATCATTCATGTGTTTTGCAATGCTTGCCAAGAAGCATATGTTGCTGTAACTTTCTCAAATGTAAATCCACACAAAGCTGTGTGTATTCGGCAAGAAAAAGAATCGCGCCTTTGAAAAAATTAACCATTCGTCGAATGGAATTACGTGCAAGTATTATAGGAGCGCGGTTATTGAAGTCCGTTATCTCACTTTTCAGTTTTTTAATACTAAATCACAAACGAGGTAATTGTTTCCTTCAGGTTCGAAAATACATGCATCACTTGAATGATAACGTAATATGATACATTATCATCGACTCTATTTTATGCACTTGCAAATTATATTTGAACTGATAGCATTTGAAGAACATGTTTTTCAACGAAAACATGTTTATCAATTTTGTTTAAAGGTCAACAGCTGTAGAAAAAAAAGCAATTTTTCTGAATTTGTTAAGGAGCCTATATTCCGCTTCAAATATTGCTTCTCAGGTTGATGAAATTGAACATAAATCCAAATAGATGGAATAGAAAGACAATCAAGTAAACTTTTTTCTCTCCATATACAAGTCCTTATTATTGACCCACTTTCGATGTCTGCACAAGCCAGCATAAAAACGCCTCTCATGTTGCTTTCCAAAATGATAGCGGAAAATTTTCATTTTTCTGGATAACTCTTCATAAAAAAACGCCAGAACTTTTTTTGAGGCTACAGAATTATTATTCAGATTATACTTTCGATGGGTTGAAATTTATGCGATTATACTTTTTCATTGGGTAATTTGATTAGATAATTCAAAAATATATGATCCCTATTTTAGTGCAAAGTATGAATTATCTCCACATCTTAAACTGATTCTCGAGCACGAGATCTGACAGTTATATCTGAATATTCAAATGGAACATGACTGAAAATTTACATGAAATTCCTAACGAGGATAAACACTTCGCTTTATTAAATAAAAAACTCAAAATGTGAAGAACAAATTTTAATTCTAAGAATAGGAACGTTCACGACTGGAGATAACTGTGTTGAAGCCATTTTCAGTTCTTCTGGCAGTGGTTTGCAAGTTTCAATGCCTGATGTTTAGTCTACTACTGCGGTAGATATTATCAAAGGCGATCAGATAACCGTGGCAAAGTAACAGTTCTTGCTTTACTCCAGTTCCCATCTCAGGAAACGTAGCACTGGTTTTAAACTCTGACTGGATGGAACCTGCGTGCAAAAGTACTGAAGACCTCACGGCTGTTGCCACTAGAATTTAGTTCATAGTGAGTGATAAACTTGTGATCTCGACTGAGNAAGAATAAAACACTAACGAAGAGACAGATATAAAGACAGTAATTGTAGTGCATAACGATTGTGTATAAAATAAGATATACCTAAGTGACCTAACACGTGTGTTATGCTACAAAGTAATACTAATCAATAAAAAATTACAGTTGTTTACAGAGATTTAGGAAACAATTTGGTGGCAGTATGTCTATTGGTGTTCTAATATTTTGATGAATTCAAAGTAATTTTCGAAGATACTTTTTTTTGATTCTATAAAGAAGGTTTTATTATTTTTTATACGTTTTGTCTCTAGGGCTAGATTATTACAAATTTCAGGTAGGGTGTTAGTTACGAAGCGATGACAAATATTTTTATTGAACTTTGGACTGGGTAGCAATTCGTTCTTTGTACTTCTAGTAACATAAACTGTGGAAACATATGAACAAGAAATGTTTTGTTTTTGAATGCAAACATACATAAACTATGAAAGTATAATGTTCGAATAAATGGGATTAGATCTTAGATCTACAAGATACGGTCTTTTTTTTATTCAAGATTATTTTCAAAATATAGTTCTGTATTACGTTCCGTTTCTGCAGCGAACTCTCTCCCACACTAGAACACCATAACGAAAAGGTGATTCAGCTAGAGATTTGTAAATTAATATGACTACATACTTCAAAAGAAACTTTCGTAGCTGGTAAAATTTGTATTAGCATATTATCATAATATAATAGCATAATGATAAGCTACTCTTTTTCTCCTTATTCAACGACTCTGTTTCAGATTCTGAAAGCCGTGAGTTTGGGGACTATCAGCTGGTACAGCATGAGGTGCTCTTTTCCACAGACGATCAGTATGAGGTGCTTGAATTTCTTGGCCGAGGTACCTTCGGCCAAGTGGTTAAGTGTCGGAATAAACGCACCAAAGAACTTGTTGCCATCAAGATATTGCAGAAAGACCCTTGGTGCGCCAGACAGGTGAGTTTGTCATTTAGTACTAGAGAAAAATAGAATGATACCCTTCCTGGTTAATGGTTAGGTTAGTACAACAGAACTATAGTTATGTGATTGTTTAAGAACAGTGGTCCTGTGGCCCGCGACAGCCAATGATTACCTAATTGTTTTTACTATTGCTGTGATAAGTTGAAGAAGAAAACACAGAATGATAATTACTTGGTTTTATTTACTTGCAAGGTAAAACTTAACGACAGAAATGGTGACAAAGAAAACTTAACTCAAGTATCTAAGTTTAAGCATATTAATAACTAACAAATAATTGAAATGAATCACAGTAAAACAAA